CACCTTAAGCTTCCTTAACACTAGGAAAGTAATGATCAGATAAGTTATGAACTTATATATTATATTGGCAAATTACATGGAAGGCTAGACAAATTTCTGAGAATTGGCATTGCCTTTTATTGGTTTCATATGCCAACTTAACATACTATTTCCTAAACTCCTGTTATAGAATTAACTTTTTCATTCTTTTGGTTGTCCATGTAATAGCCCTCACACATGTGGTTTATTATTCAGTTTCTTAGATCGTGTACCTTTGCTTTCAGCTATGTAGTGGACAAACCATCAGGCGAAGACAGGTCTTCGTTCTTTGACCGTTTGATTGAAGCTGCTTTCTCAGTCATTTCAGGCGTAAATGACAAACCCGATGGATCACAATCCCTTCCAGAACTTCCCAAGGTTCCAAAAGCACCTACTGGTCCAAAACCCGCAGAAATAAAGGCCAAGGTGGAAGCAGAGCAGCATGCCCTTCGACGATTGCGTATGTGTCTCAGAGATGTTTGCAATAGGTAAATGTGTATGGGCCGTCACTTTAAATAAATATCCATTCAAAGTGTGTTCCCAACCCATAATCTTTTGGTGGTTGAGGGCCCATGCGGAGGTCCCAAATGCTCTGTATATCTAATACTTCTGTGGTATAATAGCTGGTTTGTAGATTAGGTGCACTTAAAATTGCTGAGATAACCGGCTTTTGGAAATACTTTTATTTTTTCTTCTCTGTTGTATTTTAATCTTCGTTGCAATCCACTGAAAGGCTTGCAGTGACTTCATATTGAAGCTTTAATATTGTCGGATTTCTACTTAGATCAAGAAGGCCTTTTACTTTTTGTCAACCGGGAGGCCTAGAGATGAATTTTTTGGATATAACAGTACTAAATTTAGCTCTCAAGTTGTACATTTCGTAGTCTTGCCAAGTCTATCATGTAGGGAGTTTTCTTGGGTATTTCAGATGAGCCTGTTTTAATTCTCTTTTTTTTTTTGGTCAAACGATTTTAATTGTCTCTTGTTATTCTCTTTTCTTATATTATAACTTGTGGGAATACTTTTGCTGTGCAGGGTACTCTATGATAAAAGATTCAGCGCATTCCACTTTCCAGTTACTGACGAGGATGCTCCAAACTATCGCTCAATAATTCAAAATCCAATGGATACGGCTACTCTGCTGCAGCGTGTCGATGCTGGGCAGTACCTCACATGTGCACCGTTCTTGATAGATGTTGATCTCATTGTGAAAAATGCCAAGGTGCCCTCCTATTCTACAACACTTCTCTTTTGCATGGCTATAAAACCTTGAAATTTTTGAAAATGTGGTCACTGCACTAGCATAGTAACAAGGAAAGAGAGTCCCACCCATTTGTGTTGAATTTTTGTTGGTTTGTGTGGACACTATCCTTCTTATCATTTTTTTTTCACTCGTTAAGTATGTTTTCTAATCATTTGATATATTGAGGGACTCGCTGTTTTCTTATTATCAGTATGATATGCACGTTCCAAATGAGTGCTAAGGAATGAGACTCTTACCAATGAAATAATGTTTTGTTGGTGGCTGACTTAACTCTCGGGTCGTTTATCCAGGCTTACAATGGTGATGATTACGCTGGAGCGAGAATTGTCAGTAGAGCCTATGAGCTTCGAGATGTAGTATGTTTGCAACTCTCTTTGACTGCATATATAATTTCCTGCAAAAAAATTGCTGCAAGCCTATCTCCCCCACCAAACTTATATCTGAAACCATAATTATCTTTATGTTTCAGGTGCATGGGATGCTGTCTCAGATGGACCCAGCACTGCTAACATATTGTGATAAGATTGCCGCTCAAGGTGGTCCTTCACAGATACCAGATGATATGAGTGGATCTATCCTTGGTTTAGCTCCCGTGGTACAGATMGGAACTGTTACTAGAGCCAGTGCCCGTCTTCGAAATGTGCAGCCAGAGGTTAATTTAGATCGAGCTTATGAAGGTCTTAAAAAGCCTAAGAAAACCACTGATGCCGTTTGCACAGGTAATGCCACCGCAACCACATATTTTGCTATCTCGGGTTCCTAGATATAGAACAAGTCTTTGTAATGAGACTTCTGAATACTTGCTTTGTGATGAACAGATTCAGCTGCAGACAAATCACAAAACCAAGATTCAGGTGACAAAGAAATAACATCTCCGGAAGCAGGCAACTCAAACTCACCAGCTCCTTCTTCAGAACATGGTGGTAAAGAAGACCAGAGCGAGCCGCCAAGAAAAGAGCAGGAAGAAGTGAGTGGTGATTGTTCCCGAGATTCCGCTAAGTTCGATGAAGACATTTCGAGCGGAATAGAATCGGTAAAGGGACTACTCATGGAGCGTACTGAAAACTACGGCATCCCGCAGATGGAGAGGCTTTATACTCGAATCATGAAGGGTGTTCTGGAGACTTTGGACAAAGGGGTTCGTGATGATAAAAGCCCTAAGCATTCAATTTTGAGATTTTTGTCGGAATTCGCTCAGCGTCAGGCGAATTTCTGCGGCTAAAAACTTTTCTCATATCGGTCACTAGGTTAGGAACAAAAGATTTTACCTTTTTCTATAATCCGGATTCTTCTTTGACTGAAAAAGTTGCAAGAACACAAAGTAGTAGTTTATCAGTAGGATCCCCTTGTAAAGTCGAACTTGCACCTTTAAATCCAAGGAAAACAAACAAACAAACAAAAAGATTTCTCAATTAAACATGTGTTTCTTTTAACAGTTTCTCATGTGTTACTGTTAGAAAGTGATCAACTCATCATTAGTTCTTAAACCGTCTATTTTAGTAAAAAGAAGAAAATAATCTTTGGGTAGATTCTTAATGGAGGAAACTTGTTCGCGCCACACAGTTATCTATTTAACTCTTTCTCACTCATACACTAGAGTTTCTGTTATGACCGTTGGATATGATTTTTAGCGGGAAAATCATCCTCAACGCACAGAGATTTTTATCATCACTTAATAACCAACTTCTTGGACGATTTTCAAGATTCAAGAGAAACTTTTTCCCTCGTCTATATTAATCGGCAACATT